GGCTCCCCACAGCGCGCCATAGGGGGTCGAGAGGAAGTGCCGCACGATACGCGGCAGGGCGCTGAGGGCCTCTTGGTCGACGGATGCTGGCACTGGGGAGGGGATGGCACGTGTGGCGGCGGTGTTGGCCTCGTTGTCAGCCGGTGGCAGGTGGGTATGCGTGTGGGTGTACTGCTGCAGGTGCTGCATCCGCTGGATCTGGCTGCCCATCATCTCGATCTGCCGCGCCATGGTCTCCCTCTCGGCCAGTGCCGCCTTGAGCTGCCGCTGGAGCTCTCCCTCCCTCTCCCTCGCGCCCTCATCAACCACCGCCATCCGCTGCTCCTGGCCCATCTGTGGGCCGCCCACGACGGGAGGGGCCTTGCGAAGCTGACGTGGCACGGAAGTGGCCGCCTTGAGCTGCCGACGCAGATGGGCAATCTCGGCCTCATACTGCCGCTCCCGCAAGGTGACTACCGGGGTGTCCGGCCGGTCTGGTGAGGGCTTCTCGTCATTCGGCTGCGGGTGCTCGTGATGGTGGAGTCTCCTCTGCAGCTCGGCGACGATGGTGTCGTGCTGGGCGCGGAGAGTGCCGAGTGAGGCCTCGTAGTGCTCCTGGCGCGCATGCAGCTGTTCGTGCAGGTCTTTGACTTGTGCCTCGAGGTCCTTGACCTGTCGCGCCTCCTCGGGTGGTGTCTGGCATGAGGCCATCATGGCCGTGAGGGAGTCGGGGTGCTTCTTCTTCAATGCGTCACTCAACTCGGACACCTACGCGCAACACGGAGACACACATGGGAAGTGGCTGGTGGAGTTCAGTGGTTCGTGTGTGCATGCCTCTCTGTCTGTCTGTGTGTGTGTGCGTGTGTGTGTGTACTTGTTTGCGTAGTTTGTCAACTTCCTGTTGTTGACGGCGTCCAGTAGGGTCTGGTCTCTCGGCCAGCTTCTGCCGCAGCTTCCTGATCTCCTCCTCCCTGTCTATCGCCTTCCTGAATAAATGTACCCAACACACACACACAGACGCATGAGAGACTCACATGTCCTCCATCTGTGTGCTAAGAGGCGTGCATACGTACTTTTGTTGGAACTCGAAAGCCCGCTGCGTCTTCTCGTAGAACTTGATACGCTCATTGAGGTTTTGAGCCTCTGTGTCCGACGCAGCTTTCTGCAGGGTAGGGTAGACAGACGAGGGTGCATGCACTGACTGCACAGGCTGGTGGGTGAGGGGTTCCCTCCCTCAGCCACACGGCCAGGGACTGGACTCACCTGTTCCTTGAGTTTTTGTTGGAGTATGGCGGTCTCCTCGCGGGCCCTCTCGAGCTTGCTGGCCATGTCCTGCACGCCATGAGCCTTGGCCACCCACTGCTCCTTCTCCCCCCGAACCTCAGCCAACTCCTCCTGACAACAGCAACCACCGTGTGTGTGTGTGTGTGTGTGTGGCGCACTGCACTGGCTGACCTGTAGCTTGCGTGCGCGTTGTTTCTCCTTGTCGTAGTTGGCTTCGATGCGCCTGAGGCGCTCGTCGGGCGGGACGTCGTACTTGATCTTGGCCCTGGCGGCGTTGAGCTCCTCGGCCATGCGCACCTGGTCCTCCTCGTGCTGGCGACGCTCGTCATTCAAGTACGCTCGCAAACCCTGATTCTCCTGCATACACACACACACAGAGGGAGGGAGGGAGGGAGGGAGGGAGAGATGGTGATGGCATGTGCTCCTTTGTCGTCGGTGTGTCTGATGTCCATGTCTGTCCAGGTACCTGAGTGAGTTTCCTGTTGTCGGCCTCTGCTGTAGCGAATAGCTGCTCCACCTGCTGGTGCTCCCTCGTCAGCTTGTCAAGCTCCTCCCGCAGCCGGGCGTTCTCATGCCGAAGCCAGTCTTCGGTGGTCATCTCCTCCCTCTCACTACTACCCTCACCACCCTGATTGGCCTGGCTGGGTGTGCCGGCGTGCGATTCCCGCTCCCGTCGTCTGGCCCGCCTCTTGGCTGTCCCGGGGGTGTCCCTCATGCGGCCATGAGACTTGCGCAGATTGCCGCCGCCATGGCCCTCACCCTTGTGCAGGAACTGGCGGGCCGGCGTGTTAGGGTCAGCCGGGGGGACCGTGAAGTCAGGGAGGACGTCGTGGCTGTCATCGTCGGGCGTCTCGGTGCCAGAGGGTGCGGAGGGAGCAGGGAAGGCAGCGGGGGCGGAAAGGGGCTGTTGCTGGTGCTGCTGGGGCGGCAGGGGCGGGGGAGTGCTGGCCTGTGACTCGTTCTGCTTGTAGTGGTCGATCTGCCGGCGCTGCTCCTCACATTTGGTCTCGAACCCGTCGAGCTTCTGCTGCAGGGTGCGGAGCATCTCCTCGAGCGTGGCCTTCTTCTGCTGCTCCTGCTGGTCCCTCTCGGCCTTGTCCTGGGCGAACTGCCGCTCTCTCTCCTCGGCCGCACGCCGCAAAGCCTCCACCTCGCGACGCAGCTCGGCCGCCTGACGCTCTGACTCGTTGATACGACGATCAGCCTCCTCTACCTGCATGCACACCGACGCACACACATCCATCCATGCCGCAACACAGATCTCCCTCCCAGGAGCTCATTGAAACCCTTCTGCTCCCCCCCTCTCAGACTCACCTGCGCAACTCTCTGGCTGAGGGCCTGCACCTCTCCCAGCGCCGCCCGCAGCTCAGCGGTCCGGTCCCGCGGACCGCTGTCGCCCTCGGCTGGCACGGGAGCCGACGCGACGCCTGACGGCTGACAGCCCATAGCACCCGCACTCTCGCCCACCGGAGATGCCGCAGCCGCGTTGGCCGCCGAGTCGCTATTGTCCGGTGGGGCAGAGTGGACGCGCTGTGGCGGCTGGGAGGGCCCTTTGGTGTCCTGCTTGTCGTCCAAGAGGTCGCGCTGCTCCTCCTCAGTGAGAACTCGGGGGCGGATGCCCCCTGGCCCATGCATCGTGGGGACTGCCGAGGGAGAGCTCACCAGCCGCGCCGCTGCTGCCGCTGCTGGAGGGATTGGCTGCTCTTCGAGGACTATTTCCTGGACGTCGGGAGTCTCCTGGCCGTTGTCGTCTTCGATGATGGGCGATGGCTCCTCCGAGGCCGGCTGCCCCACCCCGCGCATGCCGACAAAGTCTGGTGTGAATGCCCTCTCCACCCCACCGCCCTCACCGTACGGCCGCGGCGTGTTGGGGCCGATCTTCTCCGCCTCTATCGACACCAGGCCCTCCTCGTGCGTCACGGCAGACGTGACCGACTTGGCCGCCTTGACAATCGTGCCGGGCGACCGTGCGGCCAGGCCCCCTTCGCCGATGCCGTCGGGCGTCTTGGGGTCGACACCATTGACCTTTGGGAGAGGCTGCCAGTGCTGAGTGCCGCTGTCAGTGCGCCGCACCTGCCGAATGCGGTGGGGGACGGCCGGTGTTGGCGCAGGGGGGACGGAGGTGTCTTCGTCACGGTCCTTGTCCTTGTCCTCTCCTCCCTCCTCGCCCCTCTCCACGCCGTCGACGGGCCGCTCCGTCTCGGGTATGGGCGGGAGTGTGACGCCCTCCGCCGGTCTCTCCGCCGGCTGGTCCACCGATGCGTCGGCCTCCTGGAGCACCTCGTCCAGTGCCGTGGGGTCGAGGAGGATCTCGCCGATGTCCGCCACCGTCTTGACGTTCTCGAACGAACTCCGCTTGGCGTAGGGCGTGGGCGACAATGCACTGTCAACGTCAGCCGCCGTGCGGATGGGCCGCTGGGGCGAGGAGCCGAGCGAGTCACCAACTGGGCGGTCCTTGTGCCCGTGTGCGTCTGCATCGCTTTCGAAGTCCTCTGAGTACTCCTCCTCCTCTACCCTCGGGGCGGCATCGGGCTGAGAGGGAGGGGGAGGCGCAGAGGGAGGGGCAGGGGGAGGGGGCGGCGACGGTGGTCTTGGCTGGGGCTGGGGCTGGGCCGCTCGGCTCTCGAGGGTCTCTCGCGTCTCGCGCGCCTCAGACACCCCAGACTGAGACCACACAGGGACCAACACCGCACAAGCAGGGAGTGGAGGGATGCATGTCTGTGTTTGTGAGGGTGGCAAGGCAATGGTCTTTCCCACCTGCAGCGCCTGCAGATATCCTGCGAACACAGACGCCTGTGCTGCCGTGAGCGGCTGCTCGCTGCCCCCAGCCTGTGGCGCAGCGGCAGACGGTTGCGATTCACCAACATCCTCTAGGCCACTCGCACCCTGCACACACACACACACAGCAGCAGCAGCAGCAGCAAAGGGCTGTGAGAGCACCTTCCCTGCGAGGTTGTGGTATTTTCTGACGTGTTGGTCTGGCGATTGGTCGGCGTGTGCGTCAGCTGGTTCGCCGCGCCTGCCCTTCCCTCGCGGTGTGTCACGCGCCGACTTTGTGCCCTTGGTGGGCGAGCGAGATCGCGACGCAGAACGAGACTTCTGACACCCAACACCCACACACACCACACACAGACACTAAGTGCCTCTGTGTGTGAACCGCCCCGCCCCGTACCTTGTCCCGTGCGGCCTTCTTCCTGTCCCTGCCCTCCTGCTGCTCGCGCAGGCCCTCCTCGTATATCTGGTTGATACGGCTGATCTCCTCGGCATCGATCTCAATGACCGCATAGGGGTCGGCATCCACAGCACCGTACAGCCCGGCGTTGGGCGCAAAGCCGGCTGCTGCAGCACCCGTCGGAAGGCCACGAGAAGTGGTGGGCCGGCCGGAGCGCTGCCACACACCACACACCAGCGAGTTTTAACGCAGGATTACATACCCGCTTGTCGTTGCCCTTCGGCTTCGTGTTGGTGGTCTGGTCGCTCCCTCAGGTACCTTTGATCGGGTGTCAGCTGAGAGGTCAGCGTAGTCGTCCGAGTCCTCCTCGTTGATGAACTGATGCAGGCTACCGATAGAACCACCCTCGCGATGGTGGGCTGACACACACACACACAGATAGCCAGAGGAGCGAACGGCCACAAGCCACGTGTGTTGCTTGCAGGACGTTTGTTAAATGCAGCCAGCCTCTTGATTGAGCCCATCCTCCTCTCACCCATTCGTCAGATGAAGGAGCTGCAGCAACCAACCATCACCAGAAAGATGGATTGCTGTCCGTGGGAAGCACCAGAAGCGATAGGCTATCTCATCATCACCACACTAACAGCCAGAATCATCGTCATCGTTATTACATACCCCTGCCAGAACTTCTTCTTTCCACCTCTGTTTCACTCCAGGGCAGCGTAACTCCTCCTCCTCATCCCGGGGCGGGAGGATATCCTGGAGCCGTTGTGTCGCAGTCCAGCCCATAGCCGGTTCACGGCCGTGAACCGCCCGAGGAAAGTGACTTCAAAGAAAAGGGCGGATACATCGGGCTGCTGCTTGCAGGGTGAGCAAACCGATGCGCCGCTCCTTCTTCCTACCGCATCGCCATCTCTGATGGGTCATCTTTGGTCTTCTGTCAGGCGCTGACAGCAATGGATAACTCTCCGCCTCCAGTCCAAGTGGGAGGCGCTGCCGCTCAGCCCGATGTGCAGCTGCAAGATCTGTCACTTCCCGAGCCCCTGCGCGCGCATCTCAAGGCCATGGGCAAGCACTCAGGTGATAGCGTAGCGACGACATCCGCATGGGGACAATGGACGTCCTTATTGGTGTTGTGTTGTGTGGCGTTTGCAGAGTATTCTCTGGTGGTGTGTGGTGACCTCGAGAAGGAGTGCCAGCTGGCAAAAGTGGAGAAAGAGGTGCAATGCAATCGGCCTCTACAATGAATGCCGTGTGGATGGATGGATGGATGTGTGTGTTTGTGTGCGCGTGTGTGTGGTCAGGTCGGGATGGACAAGGTCAGCATGGCGTTGCTGGTGCACAGTGAGTGCAGCAAGCTGCTCCACCGATACAACTGGCATGGGGCACTCGCAGACCCCACGCAGGTGGGTACTCACAAGCTCAATCCGACAGACAGACAGACAGACAGACACCCTCTGTGCTCTCCATGTGCCATCCATTCATGTGTGTCCGTCTACTGTAGATGTTGTCGTCACACGAGGAGGGCGGCCCCTCTCCGTGGCTGGCAGGGCCGCCCGGCTCGCTGCCGCCATCGCAGGAGGAGGAAGGAGATGCCGATGAGAATGGCCATGACGATGGTGACGCACCGCCGCTGTATACTGGCACAGGGGGCCCAGGTGGGATGCAGCTGATGGAGATGCAGCTGGTGGAGATGGAGATGCCCCCGCCATCGCCCTCGCCCTCCCCAGCGCCAGGCATGCACCCGCCACTCGTACCCTCGTGCATGCACTTCGGCACGGGAGCTGCCGAGTGAGTGACTGAGTGAGAAAGAATAGACGAGCAAAGACAGACAAGAAAGACAACTGACGTCATTAGTGTGTGTCGTGCTGTGTGTTGTCTCATGTGAGGTTTGATCGCATATTGGGCGGTGGTTTGCGAGCGGGCAGCTGGACGGAGCTGTACGGGCCGTCTTCGTCTCTGCTGACAGAGGTCCTCCAGTCCGTCGCCGCACACGTGACGATGGCCCACCCAACAGCCACAGTCGTCTACTGCCAGGCTGGTACGGCACCAGCATGCCGCCCTTTATGCTCACTGCACTGGACTGATTTATCTGTCATGATGGATGTCTTGTGTGCAGGTCTGACGTTCAGGGCCGAGAGTTTCCTGGAGGTGCTCAACGCGCGATACATCGACGAGCGGCTGCACGAGACGCAGGAGGCCGAGTCGGTGCTCAAGGCCGCCCTGTCGCGATTGCGGGTGGAGCACACACCCACGTGGGAGGAGCTGTCTGTGGCACTCGACCGCATACACATGGCCAACGCCCTCCGTGGTGGCAAGCCGCGTGTGTTGGTGATAGTGGACGGGCTGTCGCTGGTCTTCACGCCGCTCACGAGCCTCAGACCATTCCCATGTATGTGTGTATGTGGGTATGTGATGTGATGTGAGGGATGGAACGTCGTCAGAGAGGATCGCTGTCTACTATACTGTCCGTGTGTGTGGTGTGTGGTTGTGTGTGTAGATGTGGAGCATTTGCTGTGGCGTCAGATGCGGCGTGTGGCCCTCAGCGCAGAAGTCGCCATACTGGTTTGTATGGATGTATCGATCTCTCTATCGTATAGAGAGAGAAGCTCTCTCTGTGTGTATGGTTTCCTCTGCCTCTCTCTCTGTCCTTCAGACGACCAACCACACAGTATCGCCGAGCGGCCGCGACCAAACAACTGTGAGCCTGACGTCTGTTGGGGGCTCTCTACATAATTAGCTGACAAACAAACACGCCTGTCTGTCTGTCTGTCTGTCAGCAGCATCAGCAGCGGTCGATGGCGGGTGACATGGACATTGGCTCGGCATCGTCCGGCCGCTATCAGGTGCCGCGCCACCGTCCTGGCATGGGGTGGTTCTGGCTGCACGGACCGGACCTCACGGTTAGCCAAAGGCACACTCCCACCAGCCACGAGTGCACAACTCGATGCGTGTGTGCACCTTAGGTAGAGGTTGAGCCTGTCGAGAGTGTGTATGAGGGCGTCTGTGAGGGTGAGGAGCCTGACGCCAACGTGCCCATGCCTGTGTGGGCGACAGTGCGGTCACACGACCACCTGCACGTACGGCATTGCAATGAGTGAGAGTGTGCCATGGGTTGGCCGATCTGTGGATGGATGGGTGCGTCGCGACACGTGTGTGTGTGTGTATGTGTGTATGTGTGTGCAGCCGCAGCTGAGAGGCCAGAGGGCCCAGCTGTATGCCACCATCAAGGGTACGCACCCCTAAACACACATCACCATGACGTGTGTGTGTGTCTGCGCGTGTGTGTCTCAGGGATAGTTGATGCGCCGGACGATGTGACGGGCCATCCACCCAACATGTCCGACGCCATGCAGATGCAGACAGACACGCTGCAGCAGTCGAGCGTAGCGTAGCGTAGCTTACTTTGCCTATCCTTCGTGTGCACAGACAGCCGTCCAGTCCATGTGCAGTGTACAGAGACATCTGCCACTTGTCAATATCGATCTTCTCGTCCGCCGCGGTCGGTGAGGGTTTCATCCTACGCAGTATGATAGGTAGAGTCTTGAGTTCATAAATCACACACATAGACAGACAGACAGACATACACGCACACAAGGACCATCCACTCACTCAGGCAAAGAGAAACACGCGACAAGACCACACACCACATACCACAGCGCACCATTCGTTTCTCCACCACCGCCACCACCACCACCCGTTCGTCCTGACTCACTCAAGTCAATCCTTGTCGGTTTTGATGGCTGCTCTCTTGGCCCTTTTGCCGGTCATGCACTCGGCCAGTTCGACGAAGGTCCTCTTGAGCTGTGCGGAGGGGAACAGCAGCGGAATGCACGCACCCTCCTTCAAGTAAAACGCACACGTACTGAGGGAGGGAACAAGGGAGAGAACAAATCACAGACAGACACATATATCGACACATGAGAGGAGAGAGGGAGGGAGGGCCACTTGGTCTGTCCCTTCCTGACCGATCAGCTTCTATTTCCGATTTGATTTCGACTTTGGCCAGGTGCTCCTTGGTGTGCAGCAGGCCACGCAGCGCATTCAACGGGACCTCACGGGCCTTCTCCTGCACACACACACAAGTGCACCAAAACACACAGATGGACAGAATTATGGAGGGAGGGAGAGACGGCCATGCACATGGACAGATGCTGTGTGTCTGACCTCTGTGCCGATGATGAAAACCCCCTCGTCGTACCGGAGCTTCAACGAACACTCTATCTGCTGACCACCCTGACAACATTCAAAGGCAGACAGACAGACAGACAATGAGACAGAAAGTGCTTGTCTCCCCCCCTCCCTCCCTCCCCCCTCTCAGGCTGCCTGCCCCTGGCTGACGACGTACTTACGTGTAGGAGTACTGCGACGGGCAGTCCGTCCTCCTCGAGTTGGTTGACGAAGTCCAGCGTCTCAGCCTTCAACTCTGACTTGGACTTAGCCGGACCCCTCCCAGACTGACACACAAACACACAGACACAGACACATGTATCCAACCGTTCATCCATTAGGAATGAGCTCTGGCCGAGAAGGTCGGTCGGTGGTCGGGCGGTGTCTTACTTGGCTTGCAGAGACGCCATACGACTCCTTGTCCGACGCTGCAAGCAGCAATATCAATAAGCGAGGGACAACCACATGCCACACACTGCGTTCAGGTCCCACCCCCCGCTCACCCATGGAGGAGCTCTCCACTGCGGGCCCCTCGGGCGGCGCCAGAGACGGCGACACGTCGGGACTCGGCATGGGCGGATAACTCGCGTGCTGCACTCAGCCAGTCCAGTCCAAATGTGGCGCCGAGACGTCCGTCTCACCTCTGGTTCTTCCGCTGCTTCGATCTGCGACGCGGGCGGCTGGAAGTAGACACCGCCATTCGCTGCCGGGGGCTGATAGGCTGCATTCGACGGCGGCGCTGCACACACGCAAGACAGACAAATGGTGGGTGATTTGCGCGGTGCACCCACGGGGGCTGAGAGACTCATTCATTACATACCGACAAATTGCTGTTCTCCCTTGGTGGCGTCTTCGCAGCCGCAACACCGGCTAATGTAGGCACCCATGGCCACACACGGTGGACCACACTGCATCAAAGAGAACACGCCATCGCAGCCTTTCTCCATGTGCACATGAGCAGACACTCCATGCTAACTCACCTACCTTTGTGTAAGGCTGAATCAGAGGTGCCGCAGTGCAAATGGTGAATGCCCTGCTGCAGCACCACAGAATGACCAACAACAACACATCCCCTGCACTTGTCTCTCCGAGAGTGGGGGCAAGACGCGCTGGAGCTCGCCCCCCAGATCTCCGGCTTGAAATCATGAGATCTCCAGCAACTTAACTTGAGGCGACTCTCTACATCTACACCTATCGACGGCTCGAGGCCTGCTGCTCACTTCATCCCCCGCACACTACAGGCAGGAAAGGATGTGTGGTCGAGTGGCCTGCACGCTGGCTCCCGCCCAGCTGCGCCGCATCGCCAGGGCACAGCGCACACGAAACCTCGGCAACTACAGACCCAAGTCAGTCAGTCAGCGATCGCTGGCATACACGGCAAGGGAGGTTCAGCACTGATTGGCGCGACTCCATGTTGTTGTGATGCTTGCATTGCAGGTACAACATGGCACCGACCAACACGGCTCCCGTCATCTACGAAAAGAAGAACAAGGACAACGGCGGCGGCCGCGAGCGTGTGGTGCACGCCATGCGGTGGGGACTCATCCCCTCCTACGCCAAGAAGGAGACCGCATTCACGGGAGAGTTCAACACCATCAACGCCAGAAGCGAAAACGTCGCCAACAGCCCCGTATACCGGTCAGTCAGCCAGCCAGCCAGCCGATGGATGACCGTGGATGGATGAATGATGGTGTGGTGTGGTGTGGTGTGGTTTGGTTCATCTCTGCAGGCGTCTGGTGAACAGCAAGCGTTGTGTGGTGGTAGCTGATGGATTCTACGAGTGGAAGGCCAACCCCAGGGGCGGCAAGAAACTGCCCCACTTCATACGGCTCAAGAAATCCGTCAAGGGTCGGTGGGTGCCTCGCACGCACGAACTCGTGTGGAAGGATCCCTTCACCGATATCTATCAATGGTTGTGTGTGACGTGTGTCGTTTCAGAGTCTGTGATAGAGTACCACGACAAGGCCACGGCAGCAACAGCGGCATCGGAGGCCGCTGAGCCGCCCGCCAAAAAGATCAAGACAGACACCCAGTCGACTGCCGGTGCGCATACAGCAGACCACTACCGACCAGAAAACTGTCTGTCTGTCTGTCTGAGTGTGTGCAGATGGTGCTATGGTGGAGTATGACGGCGAGTCGCTGCAGTGGCCCCCCGAGGGCACTGACGCACGCCAGGCCGTCCTCAATGAAAACGAGGCGCCGCTGCTCATGGCCGGTGCCCACCACTAACAGACAAACAGGCCTACACACACAGCACACGTGTGCCTTGGTTGCATCTTCTGGCTGTGTTTGGTTTGTCGTGTGTGCTGTGCAGGTTTGTATGACGCGTGGAAGGACCCCGACAGCGGCGAGTGGCTGTACTCGTACACAGTCCTCACGATGGACTCTTCACACACACCCGTCGAGGGCGTGCACGACAGGTGCGGACGATGGATGAATCCGCCGCTAATTGCTCACACGCCACCTGTGAGTGGTCATGTCACGTGCAGGATGCCCGTGTTTCTGACGCCCGAGACGGCGTCGCTGTGGCTCGACTGTGAGGGCGTGCCGCTGCAGCAGTGCCTCGACACCGTCAAGCGTCAAGCCGCCAAACTATGTACTTAAGTGCATCAATTGACCGACACACAATCCACTGCCTTCATCCGCGTATGCGGTGTGTGTGTGTGTGTGTGTGCAGGCCAGGAGTCGTTTGAGTTGTACGAGGTGCCGCCGTTGGTGAGCAACATGCGCAACAACAGCATCGAGTGCGTCATGCCCAAGGACCAGTACGACAAGGCACAATTCAACAAAGGCATCGGACGCTTTTTCTCACCCACCTCGCAAACCAAGAAGGACCCGGGCAGCGCCGCCGCCAGTGCAGCCCTCCCCGCCCCCGCCATCAAGAAACAGGAGATGCCGTCAGCTGCAGCTGCGGCAGCCATCAAGCGGGAAGAGGCTTCATCTCCCGCTGCTGCTGGTGATGGCGGTGGTGGTGGTGGTGTCAAGAAGGAGGAGGTCAAGCCCAAGGCCAAGCAGGGGTCAGGGCGGGGCAGCAAGGGCACGCCGCCGCCGGTGGAGGGCAAGGGTTCCATCAAGGCCTTTTTCAAACCGGCAAGCGGCAAGTAAGTAGGAAGGAAACAGACAGGGAGGGAGGGAGGGGGCATGGTGTAGTGTAGACGGGTATTTTTAGATGGTGGGCTTAATGGTTTCCCTGGCACGTGTTTATTTGTTTTCCGCCTTCTTGAGATACATACGCCCACACATTCATCGAGGTTTTTGACACCCATCTTGTTGAGGAGTTGTCAGGTTGGAAGGCACTCATGTGAGAGAAACGAGCAGCGATTGAACGGTCAGTGCTCGGACGCGTTGCATCTGTTGGTGCTGGTGGGAAAGTCTCGGCTTGCCATGCAGAGTTCAGACAGGAAGGACACAACAAAGAAACACGGTCAGATGCACACACACACACACACGCCGTCACACGGACGGGACATTCACACAACTGAATCTCAACACACAGACACGGACGCGCTCCCTTGACACACACAAACACAGGACTGACTGACAAGTGTACACACCCACACACCCACACTCCCTTGTTGGCTGATGGGAGGACGAATTGTGCCAATGAATGACCAAGAAAAACAAGCGTGATGGCCGGTGTGTCTGGCCGAGAGGCCAGACAGACCACCCCACCGCCCACAAACGCAGGGGTACAGTAGACTAGACTACAGCACACCACGTGCGCCGACACGGCATACACAGGGAGGGCTACATATAGCCACCATCTCACCCGCTTCCTACCTACCTAGTCAAGTCAAGTCGAGTCGAGTCGACAAGAACAGTGCACTCACCGCCCCACCGCATCCATCCCTCGACCCCATCCACTCTCTCAGAAAGGCACATAACGACCGTCCGGCCGACCCAGCTTGTGATTCTCTGATTCAGCGGTCGTGTCGGTGGTGTCGCTTGTGCTGTCAACGTCAGTGTCCTCTTGTGGATCGGTTGGTTTGCCCACCACACGCACGTCGGTAAGCGCCGCTGCTGGCGCCTGGGCCGATGACGCTTTTGGCACAGGGGCGGAGGGGGCATGTGTTGTCGTCGTCGTTCTCTCCCACGGAGTTTGGCCGGCACGGTTTTTTCCAGCACAGATCCCATAGATGACGACCAGGACCAAGAAGGAGGGGCAAATGTAGGTCATGAAGTCGGCGGGCGAAGAGGGGGGACAGGCATCGCCCTCCAGTCTCTCATTCTTGGCGTCGAAGCACACGTCAAAGTCAGTGGAGCTCCGCCAGTGGGTGACGGCCACAATCATCATGGCCAATGCCAACGTCAACGAGGTGCAGCCGTAGATGACATCGGACCAGTGGTTCCCGGCTCGCAGCAAGCAGAGGGCACCCACGAGGAGGAGCAGGGGAACGACGCAGCCAATCACGACGTACACAAAGATGCCTGCACCCCTGAAATCCCGCCACATGGCAGCCGCCTTGTGGTCGTCCCGGGCCGAGCTCTTCTTCATCAACCAGCCGTAGGACGCAACGCACCTGCAGCAGCTGCCGTGCCCCTCGCAACTCTGGAAGTCCTGGCGGCCGAAGGGCGACTCGATACTCTGCCGCTCGCACCGGAGGGCGTAGTTGGCCGGTCCCCCAACACCAATTGTCAGACGGTAGCGCTGCAGCCCGTAGCTTTGCGACAGGTCCGCGTAGTGATGCGCGACGGACACCTGGTAAGCCCCCGTGGTGAGATCCTGCTCGATAGAGTGAATATGGTACTTGAAGTGCCTCCTTGACTCGACTCGCCACCCCGGCAACATAATGGGGAAGATCGCAGCGAGGACCACAATGAGGAAAGCCAGCGCTCTCAGAGCTAGCTTTTTGGCTGGAACGCCCTCCATGCTGACCACCGCACAAGCCAAGCACACGAGTTGATGACAAGGTGATGACTCCCCCGTTCCTTTCTTCTTTTCCTCACATTTGTGTGATGTCCTGTGTGTGAACGGCCAACGGTATAGGATGAGGACAGCGGGGTGAAAGAAAGGAAGGAGGAGGAAGGCTGCGGATCTGCTCAAGTTTCCGTTTCACGGTTGGTGTACCGTTTCATGGATGGGTGGTTGTTCTGTCGCAGAGGATATCATGACGTGTCGTGGTTTCACCCGGAAGCAAGTGTTCCATTACCTCGGCAAGCACCTCCCCAGTTTCTGCTTCCTTTTCTCCCTTCTCACCCTCGTGACTAACGACGAATGGCTGAACTTACGCCAGGGCGTGAGGTCACAGGGGATCTGCGAGAGGTAAGCCAAGCCAAGCCAAGCTCACCACGCGAGGAAGCACTGCCTGCTGTCCCTTCAGCTGGGGTTTACAGAGGTACCGTCTGTCAGTGGAGCTTGTGCCACTGACCAACGCGACGGCGACGTGTGGCGACACCTCTGTCGACTCGCCTCTGTTCGGCCGTGGCGAGTTCAAGGGCTGCAAAGTAACTCACCATTATTGTGTATGTGAGTCATCCTACAGATGGCTGCGGCGGCGGAGCGTCAAGAGGGGCGACACTGAGGCAGCGGCCATGTGGCGGGACCTACGCGCAGCCGGCATCGTCATGTACGTCTTCAGCAGCCTCACAATGTTCTTTATCGCTTGCAGCAGCTATGGGGAACTTGATACCGTGTCTTCTAAAATGAAGAACGGCCTCCCGACCCATCCGCATGACTTGCGAGCAGCCGTCTTCTGCACGATAGCCGTAGCGCTCTCCCTTGTTGGCGGTATGATTTGGTGGTATCTGGCCGGCTCGGCGCGATGTGCTGATTTGGTGGAGGCTCGAGCCCTCTTTGCTGCGCCCAATTGTGACATCAGCCCTGGGCGGTTCCGAGTCTGTCTGATCTCGTCTGTTCTATCGGTCGCTATGCTGTTCCAGTGGCTGTTTGTGTGGGACCGGGTGCGTCACGACAAACGGCAAGCAGCGATCGTGGGGCAGCAAGCTCTTGCCAACCAGAACCAGCCCGCAGCCCACACGATCGGTTACGCCGCGGCCAATCCGCAAGACGACGTCTACTACGATGCCGAGTCGACCGCAGGATCGGATGTGTGAGCAAGTGAGTGTCATAATTGGAGAGGCAGTGCGTGTCTAGGTGTCTGTGTGCTTGAGGCAGGCTGTGTTATCTGCACTCAGTGACTTGGTAGGTTAACGGTGATGTGTTGGTGATTTTTGCTGTTGTACTAACTTTTATCTGTCCTGCCTTTATCAGTAGTGCACCTTGCCGGCAGTAGGGCCGTCTTGTGTTTGTTGTGCTGCACTCGTGTACTCAGTCAGCCTGCCGGCCGGTGTGTGGGGATCTTTGCCTCACCCTTGTCTGCAGTGTGTGTGTGTGTCTGAGTGAGTAGTGTAAGGCTGTGTGCGACAGTGATCAACTCCGAGCGATTCACCCACTATGGGTCCACTCAGTGTCTCATCCATCTCGTCCCCAGCCAGTGTCAATAAAGGGAGCCGTCGACAAAAGACGAGGCAGTACACGCACACACACACCAGACAACAACTTAACCCACTTAATCGGCTGCCGCCCCCC